ATTAGTTATACAATAGATGACAATAAATTGGTCGGACACGACAATTGACTTAAATAACAATCATTGACAATTACAACATTTGCAGTCCATAATTGCCAGCGCTATGGTCCTATACGGCACCATCGATTCCCTGATCGACTTCTTCAGTTTCACGGCTTGGATCTTCTACGGTGGCGCAATGTTGGCCCTCATCGTGATGCGCTTCACTAAACCAAACTATCCCAGGCCCTACAAGGTACCATAACGTCAACCACTTGAAGCCAATACTGATCATCCACTTTTTTTCTTGCAGGTGCCAATTATCATTCCAGTTCTGGTACTAGTGATCTCAATCTACCTGGTAATCGGCCCCATCATCGATCAACCAACCATCGAATATTTATACGCTGCCCTGTTCATCCTCGGCGGAATGGTCTTCTACGTGCCCTTCGTGCACTACAAAGTCAGAATTCCGTTCATGGGTAAAACGAAAAAAAAACCACCACATCAGAACCTTACAAATAACACTATTTACAATTTCAGATGGAATAACAGTCTTTTTGCAAATGCTGTTAGAAGTAGCGCCGACGACTTCGATGTTCGAGTAGAAAGTTTTTTGGCTGTAATCGAAGTGAAATTTAGTTGTTGTTGTTAAAATTATTTAATCGTCATGGTTACAAGTTTCTTATATATGTATATTTACAAGAGAAAAAAAGAGAGAGAGTGAGATAAAGAGAGAACGAAAGAGAGAGAGAAAAACCTTTACATAACTGAAAAAAACGGTGCTCCGAGGGAGTGAAACAAAAATTGAACATCAGTTGCACGAATCATTCCTTCCCTCGGGCCGCGGTCTCGACGCGGTGTGCAAACGCGTCTAAACCACACCAATTCTCCTTCTTCAAAGAACCAAAAATTACGAACACATATAGAAAGAGAGAAAGAGAGAGTAAAACTCAAATTTTACACGCATACAAGAAAAAATAAATCATCTTAAAGCAATACGTATAACCTTTTTGGATAAAAATAACGCATTTTGTTTGGTTTTTCAGTTCGGTTTTTCGGATCTTCTTCTTTATATATATAAAATAATAATACGTACGTTTTTTAACTAATCATTTTTGTGTCCTATTTTTTTTTGTTGTTGTTCACGTAACTCTTCTTTGAAAAAAAAAAAACGGAAAATAATAATAATCTGAAAAGTCTGAATTTTATATTTTTTAATAATGATAATATTAATATTGAAGTGATGCGCTTGTAACCATGCGAATATATTAATAATGATGATATATTTTTTATTAATGTAAAAAAAAAGATGAGAGAAAATGTAAATTGAAAAAAAAAAAAATACAAAAAAATAAATAATTAAAGTACACGCGGGGTGGATGAAGTTTCGGGGTAAAAATATGGTCCTATCATTCCTTGCCCCCAAACGCAATCGCCACCACCGCAGCAACCGTGAAATGATGATGGACGAAGAAGAAGATGATTTAACAGCTGGATTTCAACGGATCGGAGAGGGCGTTTTATAATTAATTTTTGTTTTTATTTTCATTATTTTTGTTAATTTATATATCTTATATAATGAAATGAAAAAAAAAAAACAAAACGAATTGCGAAGTTGTTACTGTTCTCTTCATTCATTCATTTATTTTTTTTTTAATTTGGTGACTTAATTTATTTATTATTTACTTTGTAAATATATACATGTATATATATATAAAAAAAAAAGAGGAAATAAAAGAAAAACATGTACCTGTTTTATATAATGAAATAAGAAGGTTGCCAACGTTTTGAAGAAAAAAAAAATAAATAAAAAAGATGAAACGAAGAGAGAGCAAAAAAAAATAATATATATAAAAACTAAAGTAATTTTGTTATATTTTCGATTTTAATAATAATTATTATTTTCTGTTGTTTCCTTTATTTTTCAGTTCTTGTTTGTTTATGTTATATATATCTTTTTGTTTTTTTTTTAAAGTAATTCATTTGTTGAACGTGCATATCAACGTACAAAAATGGAAATAATAAAAACGAGATGAAATTAAGTGGATTTTCCTGTTTTCGAGTCTTTTCTTTCTTGTTCTTGTTGTTGTTGTTTTTCAGAAGAAGAAGAAAAATCAAAGTTTAAAGAATCATTGAGGTTGAGTCGTTGTTGTTTTTTTTAGGCGCGAATTTTTTTAGGTGATTTTTTCGTTTTTTGTAGAACGTTTATGCAATAAAGCGAACTTGATTGTTGTTGCCAATTGTATTTGAATCGAGACAAATATATTATTGATAATACTCTGATGAATATTCTGTTGTATACCTGAACCATTTGCAATTATTTTATACAATTAGTAAGTATAAAAAGAAAGGATTTTTAAGGACATTATTATCCTCAAAGTTTATAAACATGATTTATAATATATGTGGAATCGTCAGGACTACTCTCGAGTGAGGCGTTTGGAGAAGCCATTATTACAAAGAACCAATAACAATAGTTAATAAACTTAGTAGTAAACTAATCCTTCTGCAATCTTAGAGGTAGAGCGTTAAGTTTTGGCAACTGTGGCCTTCCAGTTCACCAGCTTTCATATGCATATATTGTACTCGAAAACTATAATAGATAGAATGATTC